CAATCAATGTGGGTAAGAGAGATGGACTACCTTATCTTGAGCTACAAATTTAATAATGATGATAATACATCCATAGGTACAAAAACAACTGAAACTCATTGATTCCTCACTTTGCTAGACATGGTGCTGGGTCATTTATATGCGTTGGATCATTTAATTCTCACAAGTAGTAGATAAGGCAAGTACAACTATTCCTATTGTACAGATGAGGACATTGAAGCAAAAAGGTGAAGCTAATTTTGGTGAAGTTATTCCTCAGGCTCCAGAAGGTAACGTCCCCCTTATCTTCGGTTAGTGTCACAAAATCAGGAGAGGTGAATGATTGTGGATTTTTCTCCCTGTCTTGTTCAGAGAGGTGATATTAAGTTGGAATTGTATTAAGACTCTTGTGGATGGAGTGAGCCATTGTGACTCCCAGTCTCAGTTTGCTTAGCTAAGAAATGGGAAGTAACATTACACTAGTCCTGTAGTGAGGCCTTGCTGAGTGAAGGTGGGTTTGGAGGCAGGGTGTGGGGATGGGAAAGAGAATTGAGGGAGAAGATAAAGGACGGGGGCAAAAGAAACTCTCCAGGGACAATGACCTGCATAGATGACAATGCCAATGGCCACCTCAGTGTTTCTGATCGTGCAACCTCGAAGCAGAAGACTCTCACTGCCAAAGCCAGTCCTGGTCTCGTCTGGATGCTCCCTGAGAATGAGGAAATAGACAGGGGTTAATTTGGTGGCTGTCTTTGTTTAGTTTCGCTAAACTAGGAGTGGTGAGTGAGCACAATCCCTCTCCTTCCACCCAGAGAAGTGATGTAGATTCAGAATCTAATCTCTTTCACATTCAAACACACTCTCCAATTCTCCCAGGAGGTCTGCTGGAGTCTGGACCATCAGCTGTCCACCCTCATGGCAATCACTATTTAGCTAAACCAAAGGCAGGATTCTGTGACGAAAAGGTTTGGCATCAGTTTTTCTACTCAAAATGGCGTTAGGGCAAAATATGGGGAGCTGGCTTCAGGCCGTACCAGACTGGAGTTGTGTTCCCTTTAGGACAGATTTACATGCCCATTCCCATAGTTGCTGGGACCAGAACTGCACAAGCTGAATTCCCAAGTCCATAGAAGACTCTGATAGTTCCTCTTTTCATACTATGAGATGGGTAAGGGCAGGCCACAGACCCCTCTCATTCTAAGATACATCACTCACTTGGATTCTCTCTTGTACTATCCTTCCCTTGCTCAGTTTCTTGTAAAATAAACTGACTTTATAGGAGATGGACCTTTGTGCAAAATTGGGAGGCAGCTTCTTAAGGCAGAGAACACATTTCTTCCTCTAGCCTGAGGGAATGTCGCAGTTTTCCACCTTACACTATAGTCCAGACAACTCCCATTGATTACCTCGAGTCTGCTACTTATGCTGCCCTTACTTCTTTGGGATTCTCAGGAATTTTTTTTTTTTTTTTTTTAACTTTTATTGTGGTGAAAACATACACAAGAAGACATTTGCCAGCATAACAACTTCTGCATTTACAGCTCAGGGACATTGATGACATTTTTCATGTTGTGCCACCATTATTGCTGTCCTTTTCCAAAATATGAAAAATATGGAACACTTCACAAATTTGTGTGTCATCCTTGTGCAGGGGCCATGCTAATCTCTGTATTGTTCAATTTTTAGTATATGTGCTGCTGAAGTGAGAACTCAATGTGCAGCTCTTTCATAACAAAAAATTATTTTAAAGATTTTATTTGGTTGTTTTAATCTCTGTTAGACAATTAGGATAGGGTTAGTATAGAGTTAAATACATTGCATTTAATATTACATTTAATTAAGTTGGAATTAACTCGATGGCAGTGAGTTTGGTGGTTTTTTTAAATTTTATCAGATAATCAGTACAGAATTAAAAATTTGTATTTTTTAACCCATTTTTTTAAAAAATTGTGATTTGGGTGAAAGTTTACAGAGCAAATTCACTTTCCATACAGCAGTTCACACACATTATCTCATGACATTGACCACAATTTACCCCAATACAACAGCTCCCCTCCCACTTCCTCCTGATACTTGCATCTTTCCAGTGTCTATCCCTCCATGCATTCCTGCCCCCTGAACTGTCTCTGTGCAAAAATAGCCCCTCTTTCTCCCATGATTATTCTCTCCAAGGAGTGTATCTACCTCAGGTACATATTCAACTCATTATGCCTATCTTTTATTTGGCTGGAAGCCACAGGTATGCTTTCAATTCCACACCTGAAAAGCAGCTAGGGACCATAGTCTCAGTGGTTCCACCAGACTCTATCAGATCAGCAAACCAGGATTCTCAGGAATTTTTACTATGAATTTCCAAAGACATTTCTTTAGAGAAAGACTCTGAACCCTAAAGGTTTTTTATTCTGATAGTTTTTAAATACTTCATTTCCCTAGGTCCTGTTTTAAATGTTTTACATGTATTAACTCAATTAAGCTTTATGATAACCTTTTAAGGTAGGTCATATTATCATATTTACTTTATTGATAGGGAAACTGCTCCTCCATATAACTTTTAATACTAATAATTCCTTGCTATATTTATAAAATACTTTTACTTACTTTATTTAGTTTGACTCTCATGGCTCAGGGAAGTTAGCAGATGATTGTCCTTACTCAAGAAAAAGCTGAAGCTCAGAGAGGTTGAGGGATTTTTCCAAAACCACACCCCTAGTACACAGGACCTCTAGGATTTGGGAATCTAGGTCATAGGCACAAACCTAATGCGATTTCACTGCAGTAGGGTTTCCAAAGTACCTCATTAATTTAATCTGAATCAAAGTTCCATTTCTACTCAGTTCTTCTGAATCTATCAAGGAGATGTCTCAGTTTGATGCTGGCATATCATTAACCCTTTTCTAACAACTCAAAAATGAAACCCAACTCACTGCCATTGAGTCAATTCCAACTCATAGCGACCCCATTGGGTTTCTGAGGCTGTAAATCTTTAAGGAAGTAGATCACCCCATCTTCCTTCTGCAAAGCAACTGGTGGCTTTGAACCACTGACCTTCTGGTTAGCAACTAAATGCTTTATCCACTATGCCATCAGAGCTCCTTTCTAACACCTACTCATCTTAATTTTTAAAACAAAGTAGGCTTTCACAAATGATAGTCTGTAGTTAGACTAGAATGACACTGTTTTGATTTAATTCTACTAAATTTTATTACCACCTTCTATATATGGCAAGTGATACTGGTTTCCCATAAACCAAACTCACTGCTGATGAGTTGGATTAGACTCATAGAGACCCCTCCTTGGGTTTCCGAGGCAGTATCTGTATGAGTAGAGCCATAGACACAAACTTTTCTTTTGGAATAAATTAAATTAAAAAAATAAATCAATAAAAAATTGGTAAACAAAACTAAAGATGTCTTATGAATGAGATACAAATCATAAAGATGATACAAGAATGGCTGATGTTTATGACACACTATCACCACCTCTCTCTATTAATGAGGGGGCTGGCTATGGGTAGAATATTGGGCTAATGAATTTTGAATGCTTCCCTGCCAGTTGCTTGTGGTTGAAATAACATTTTTATGATGCTAGGCGGTAATAACATATAATAAAATTTTTGCCTCTCCCAGTTGTAATATTCTTTTCTAACGGGATGGTAGAAGAGGGTTAGGTTAGCTAAGTTATAGCTACTACTTTTCTATTAAGTGCTCTTTATTTGTGGGGATGCTCTACCTACTTGACTCTAGAGCACTGTTTCTCAACATTAGCTCTATTAACATTTTGGACTGGATAATTGTTGTGTGGGCTGTCCTGTGCTTTGTAGGATGTTTAGCAGCATCTTTGGCCTCTACCCACTAGATGTACCTCCCTCTCTCAGTTGTGACAAATAAACATCTCCAGATATTGTCAAATATCTGTGGGGACAGAGTGAGAGGAGGTAAAATTGCTCCTAGTTAAGAACCACTTCTCTAGAGAGATCTTTTTGTTTGAGAGCTGGATTTCCAAATCTGATCCTCCTAATATTTAAAGCAGAACATTAGAATGTGTTCATCTTCTAGCCTGTCCAGGGAGCCACAGTAAAATGCCTTAATTAAGGGAAACCCACAACCTGGAGGTCTGACGAATAGGTTTTTGCTCAGGAAGAAGATGCAGAAAATCTGTGGATGCTGGAGCTGAGGGCATTCTCCTTGCTGAGTAGAGAATGCAAGACCACCCTGGAGAATTGTTATTCATCTCATGGGTTGGTCAGCGGGCTGACCAACTGTTCAATAAGGTTTATTCATAAGTCCTGGACAGGTAAAGAAAGACTGCTCTCTAGTGATAGCAACCAGGGAGAGGAGATCCTGAGTTGAGCGGAGCTGAATAAGTTCTGCCCTGAAATCTGTCTGAGATGGGTGGGGCCAAGCCCAGACTGAAAGCTGAGAAACGTTTTCTGCTGGCATGAGCTGTTGGGAGAGAAAAGATTACAAATAGAAACCTAGCAATAAGGCTGCTCTGGTAGCATAGTGCCTAAAGCACTTGACTGCTAACCAGAAGGCTGGCAGTTCAAACCCACCAGCCACTCCTCGGAAGGAAGGTTGGGCAATCCTACTTCCGTAGTAATACTGCCTTGGCAACCCAAGGAGGGGTCGCTATGAGTCAGGGCCGACTCGACGGCACATAACAACAACAACAACTAAGAGGGTAAGGAGAATAACTCAAGGTGTAAGTGACTTGGGATGAGCCAAATTCACAAACCTCGACCTGAGGGTGCATTCCTTGCTAGGGTGGGTGGTGGAAAGCTACCTCGCCAGAGGACTTCATTGAATAACTCTACTTCCCTGTGAGTTCACACCCTTCTCTACCTGTCTCCATCTGCTCTCTCTCTCTGTGCATATTAAAAATAATTTGCTTGTAAAAGCCACTCTTTCTTTGGTATATATATATATATATATATATATAGTTCTTGTCCTTTCTTCTCTCATATTGTTCCTCATTACATCCTATATGACCTCAGAAAATGTGGGTAGAGGGACAGCATAGACATCTCCATCCTCAACAGTTTCCTAGGGTTTATTTCAGACTCTAGTGGTAGAGCAGCCACTGTACTAGGGCTGAGCTCTGGGCTGCTCAGCAATGGTCAACACTCTGAATTTGGAGACTGAAGGCCTGAGTTTAAGTCCTGGCTTTGTCTTGTACCTGTTCTGTTGTGACTTTGGGCGAATCTTGAAAAGTCTTAGATCATTATTTCTTCATCAGTAAAGTGGGAATCATGATAACTTAGTTCCTTGGGTTCTGAAGATTAAAGGGAGTGAAAATATGGTATAATCTGTAGTGCTATAAATGCATTACATTTGGGTATTTTTTAAAAAATCATTATTACATCTGTTACCACTGTTCTTATTTTGCACTAACACCAGTAGTCTGATGTGGGAGCAAAATCTTTTTCCAATGTACGGTAGAACCAAAGTTGAGGAATAATAATAATAATAATAATGCAATAGCAGCACCACTATTGAGTATTCGTAGTGCCTAACCAGAAGGCTGGTGGTTCAAACCCACCGCCACTTCTCAGAAGGAAGGTTGGGCAATCTACTTCCGTAGGATACTGCCTCGGAAACCCAAGGAGGAGTTGCTATGAGTCAGATCCGACTCAATGGCAGTGCGTTTGGTTTGGTTTGTGGTAAGGCATTTGATGGCTAAGCAGAAGGCTGGAGGTTCAAACTCACCAGCCACTCCTCTGAAGGAAGATTGGGCAATCTACTTCTGTAGAGATACTATCTTGGAAACCCAAGGAGGGTCGTTATGAGTAAGATCTGACTCAATGGCAGTGAGTTTTGTTTATTTTTATTTTTTTGGTTTTTATGCTAAGGAGCTGTGGTGGCATAGTGCCTAAGGCATTTGTCCATTAACTAGAAGGTTGGTGGTTCAAACCTGTCAGCCATTCTGAGGAAGGAAGACTGGGCAATCTACTTCTGTAAAGTTTACTGCCTGGGAAACCCAAAGGGGTTGCTATGAGTCAGAATCTACTCTATGGCCCTGAGTTTGGTCTGGTTATGCTAAGTAAGGGCTTTTCATATGCTAAATAACTTAATTCCTAGTGAAAAAGAGCCTATGATACTATAATCTTTATTTTAGAAAACCAAAACCAGTTGCCACTGTGTTGACTCCAACTCATGGCAACACCACATATAAAACCAAAACCAAACTCACTGCCACTGAGTCAGACCCAACTCATAGCGACCCTTCCTTGGGTTTCTTCATTTTACAGATGTGGATACCAAGGCTTGGAAAGGTGAATGTATTTACCCAAGGCCACACAGCTTGTAACCAGATTTTAAACCCAGGTCTGCTGAAATCCAAAGCCTGTGTTCTTAGCTACAATGCAATACAATCTTTTTAGAAAACCAGTCTTAATACATATTTGCTTCCTTAGAAGCAAGGATGGTGAAACTTTGTCTCACCTACTTTTGATGTGTTATCAGGAGGAACTAGTCCCTGGAGAAAGATGTCATAATTGGTAAAGTGAAGGGTCAGAGAAAAAGATGAAGACCCTCAGAAGATGGGTTGACACTGTGGCAGCAAAAATGGGCTCAAGCATGACAACGATTGTGAGGATGGCACAGAAACAGGCAGTGTTTTGTTCTGTTGTACAGAGGGCTGCTATTTAGAACCCACTCAGTGACACTCAATCCCAGCCTCCCTTGAATCGGAGAGTGGTCTTGATTCTGATGTTATTTCACCAGAGGTCTAGGGAACCATCAGTGAATTTAATGCTGCAAGATAATCAACTATCACTGTGATTTAAAAAAAAAAAAGAAAAGAAAAATTTCTATCTTAGGTTTCTCTGGCTCTCTTTTTCATGATAACAACAAATAAACTTCCTCAGGATCCAGATGTCTGACTATTTCAAGAATATATGTTTTCTAGTTGCAGAGGCGATATTTACAAGCAGCCACGGGGACTGGATACTTACATATAACCCTTAAATTTGTTGAGGTTGTTGTTGGGTTTCTCACACACAATGGTACTGTGGAATTGTTCCGGATCGAACTGTGCCTCCTATGGGAGAGAGGACTCTGTGAGGTTATTAAGTCAGAGGGATGTAGTTTTAATAGGATCTTCGGGAGAGCTAATCACAGCTGGAACCATTGCAAATAAGGTAATCCCTGCTTTGTCATGCTGTGATAGTTGTAATGTGTTAGAAGAAAAAGTTAAATCCTCATTAAGGAGGAGAAAGCAGATGTAAATGAAAAGTTGAATGCTAGGCCAAGGGAGGTCCCTGCTCTGAATGCGTTTCTTCAGCAAGACTGGGTTTGAGTCTTTAGATTAGCACTGTCCAATAGACTTTATGAAGAGGATGAGAATATTCTAAGCGTGTCCAATGTGGAAGCCACTAATCGTGTAGATATTGATCACTTGAAATGTGTGAATGAGGAAATGATTTTTGTAGTTTTATTTAATTTTAATGAGTTGGAATTTAAAGAACCACATTGAAAAGCACAGAGAAAGATGATCAAAAGAAGAGTTTATAAATCTGACTACATAGCCACTGTTAACATTCTTGTGCATGCAATAATTCCAAAACCAAAACATAATAATTCCAGACTTTAAAAAAGAAATCAACACATATGCACGTATGTGTTCACATGTATACACTTATGTATTCCAAAAATGAGATTTAGTGTTCACGTATCTTAAGTATTTTTAAATTATTAAATGTTTCTATGTGTTGTAGGAGCTCTGGTAGCATAGTGGCTAAAGCACTTGACTGCTAACCAGAAGGCTGGAGGTTCAAACCCACCAGCCACTCCTCAGAAGGAAGGTTGGGCAATCCTACTTCCGTAGTGATACTGCCTTGGAAACCCAAGGAGGGGTCGCTATGAGTCGGGGCCGACTCAACGGCACATAACAACAACAACAACGTGTTGACTGAGATTTGAATGGAAAGTAATTGTATGACTGTACCACATTTCATTTCACTATTGAATATTTACATTGTTTCAATTTGTTTTACCATTATAAAAATTATGGGAAAATAAAACATTTGCCATGGATTCAATTCCAACCCATAGGGTTTTCAATGACTGATTTTTTAGAAGTAGATCTCCAGGTCTTTCTTATGAGGCACCTCTGGGTTGATGTGAACACCAACCATTCATTAGCAGCTGAAGGAACTGCTTGCATCACTCTGGAACTCTGCTGAGAAAGCAGTAGCTAACAAAACACAATAACTAGCATTGAGTGAACTCAACTTTTGCTACACACTATGATTAAAAGTTTATATGAGTTATTTATATATTTATTTATTTCAAGCTTATAACCACTCTATGATGTAGGAACTTTAATTATGGCCTCTTTCCATATAAAACCCACTGCTGTTGAGTTGATTCTAACTCATAGAGACCCATAAGGTTTCCAAGGCTGTAAATCTTTACGGAAATAGACTGCCACATCTTTCTCCCATGAAGCAGCTTGTGGGTTTGAATGACAGACCTTTTGGTTAACAGCCAAGCACTTTAATAACTGAGGCACCAGGACTCCTTGGATATGGGCAATCTGAGGTTCAGGAAGGTTAGTAGGCTATAACAGGGCTATATCATGGCCATACCAGTGCTGGATTTGAATCCAAGTCTGACTCTATATCATAGGTTCTTACCTACATGGTACACTGCCTTTGGGTGAATATTCTTGTAGCTAAGTATTGTAAACATATCCTTGACTCTTTCTCTACCGTCTTCAGGTATTTCAGTTGCATAAGCTCTATAGCCCTATTTGTAGTGTGGGTGGGTGTGGTAACATAGGTGGAAAGATAATGCTTTCTAACTCTAGCCTGTAGTAACTAATACTGTATTAAATTCTTTGAGCCTCAATTACTTCCTCTGTGGAATGGGGCTAACACCACATGCCTGACTCATCTCATTGTGCCTCAGGGGATAAAATTGACTTGGAAAGGTTTTGAGTGTTTATTGTGCTATGTAAGTAGAAGGTAGTAGTTCTAAAAGTGGACTTGGAAAGTCTCCTGGGTAGAGCTTTAACACCAGGAGTGAATTTATCTCTGAGAACTTCAAGGTAGAGCTGTTCAAAAGGGCAAATTGATTAGAAGAAGTGATAGCATTTTCTGGCTTTGTGTAAATATACTGTCCATCGGATCTGTGGGGGCACCAACATAAATAAACTCTCCACTCACTTGAAATAAATTACCCATCCAGGAGTTTCTAAAAATATGGCCCTTTTCCTTGCAGATATTGATTCTTTCAGGGATAAACACTTGCCAAGCTCTGAGATGATGAGAAATCACGCTGTAATTTGTCAGCTGCTTCTGTGTGCCTGATTAAGGCATGCACCTCTTTCTCGATCCATACTACTCAGCTCATTGCTGGGAGTCTCCATCCAAATTCATTTCAGAGATGAGTGGCAGCAGCTCTGAGAGCTGATGATACTGCTGCAGTGACTGAGTCCTTGTGTTCTGTTTAATCACACCTTGAAGAGCTGGGTGGGTCCTGGCAGTGGTGACGTTTGCCTCTCTTGTCCCTCAGTTAGGAGCTCAGGTGATGGTGGTTAAAGCATTGAGCTGCTAACCAAGAGGTTGGTTGTTTGAAGCTACTGGTTGCTCTGTGGGAGAAAGATGAGGCAATCTGCTTCTGTAAAGATTGATAGCCTTGGAAACCCTATGGGGCAACTCTATTCTGTCCTATAGGGTCACTATGAGTTGGAATTGACTCGATGATGGTGGATTTGGTTTTTGGTTTTGGTCCCTCAGTTGGGGCTTCACAGCCATCTTCCTCCTGCAGTGTACCTTCCCTGGTTCCATGCTCTCCTTTCTTCCTGGCTCTGGCTTTTGGGTCTGTTGGCCTTCCTCTCTGGCAAGGTGACCTGCTTTTTCCACCTTCTTTCCCCAAGATGGGCTATGGAGAGAGGTGCTTAGGTCCTTCTGTCTGTAAACAAAACCATGAAGATATTTCTTCCTTATTTTATTTTTTATGGGGCATGGGAGGGGTGAGCCTTCTCACAGCTTCTCTAAATTTATACCTAGTCATGCAAAGATGCTTCCATTCCCCTCACCTTTCAGCCTCCACCCCATCAAGTGGACACCACTCTCTTTCTTCTGTTCCCCTAAGATTCTAAACTCTCCTGCTCTTCTCACTATTGGCTTCTCTTACCTGCTTGCTTTTAAGACTTTTGCTATAGTTCAATGTCTCTGGGTGATGCAAACACTTCAGCCCTCAACTACAGGCTGAAAGGTTGGCAGTTCAAACCCACCTAGAGGCACATCAGAAGACAGGCCTGGTAATCTGCTTCTGAAAGGTCACAGCCTTGAAAACGCTATGGAACAATTATACTCTGCACACATGGGGTTGACTGTAACTAACAACCACTCCAGGGAAGCTGCTAAGAGATCCCAAGTCAGGACAGAGGGAGTGGTGAACTCTTACAAATCTGTGGGAATTCTTGTTTTGACTTTGTTCAGGAGTTTCTGATTCCATTCTGTGATGGGTAGAGCCTCCTTCCCCATCCCAAAATTTTTCTTAGTTGTGGAGGGACCTCACCCACCCAACCTACTTCTTTTTTCTGATCTTTTATCTAAAGCCCTTGATGAAAGTTCCATTAACCAGCAAAAAAGGGCTTAGGGAACCTATCAAGGCACAGGAAAAGATAAGGCAGTTCCAGAGGAAAATTTCTCTTAGATTCTTTGGGATGAGACCCACCTGTCTTGAGCCTCTGTCATTAACTTCTGTAGTAACTCTAAGGGTTTTTCACCAAAGTGTAAATGGAGACTGAAGTAAAGTACTTGTCTTATGGTTGATATGTAACAGAGCCAGGATTAGAACCTACCACACTGAAATTCAAAGCCAATAATCATCATCATCTTTATCATCATCATATTTATTCCTCCTCTTTCTTCTATTATTATTACTATTAGAACTAGTACAATATTTATTGAATACTTATTATGTGCCTCCCACCAATTAAATATTTTATATATACTATAACCTTTAATTCTTATCAAAGCCTTATCACATAGGTACCATTACAAAGAAAAACCAAACTCACTGTTGAGTCAGATCTGACTCATTGCGACCTCCTTGGGTTTCTGAGGCAGTATCTGTATGGAAGTAGATTGCCCAGTCTTCCTTCTGAGGAAGTGGCTGGTAGGTTTGAACCCCCAGCCTTCTGATTAGCAGTCAAGTGCCTTAGGCACTACGCCATCAGAGCTCCTTTGTACTGTTAGTATCCCCATTTTTCAGATAAAGAAACTGAGGCTTAGAGATATTCACCCATCTTCCCAATGCCATGTTGTTGTTGTTGTTATGTGCCGTCGAGTCAGCCCTGACTCATAGCGACCCCTCCTTGGGTTTCCGAGGCAGTATCACTACGGAAGTAGGATTGCCCAACCTTCCTTCCGAGGAGTGGCTGGTGGGTTTGAACCACCAGCCTTCTGGTTAGCTGTCAAGTGCTTTAGCCACTAAGCTACCAGAGCTCCTTCCCAATGCCATATAGCTAGCAAATTAGGAAGACAGAATTCAATGTTAGGACTTCTGACCCCACAATCTGCTCTTTAACCATGGTGTTATGTGCAGGGAAAAGATTAGAGTGAAACACTACTTCTCTGTCTATCGTCCTTTTCCATATCCTCTGATTGAAGTATCTGATGTAATAAATTCATTCATTCTCTAATATATAATAGAAAGTATATAATAGTCACTATAACTAATAAGCGAGCTCTGGTAGCATAGTGCCTAAGGCACTTTACTGCTAACCAGAAGGCTGGCGGTTCAGACCCACCAGCCACTCCTCAGAAGGAAGATGGGGCAATCTACTTCCGTAGTGATACTGCCTTGGAAACCCAAGGAGGAGTCGCTATGAGTCGGGTCCAACTTGACGGCACATAACAACAACAACAACATAACTAATAAGCAAGAAATGTATTACCTCTTTGAAGTGTATTTGTATTTTAAATTAGAGGTCCCCAAAGGGTAAAATTTATGACAGTAAATTACCTACATAGAGGACATTCATTTGATGATATATGCATATGTATTTTTTAGCATTTAAGAGTT